GAACGAGCTGTAATCATCAGGGCGTTTTGCATTTAATTTTTCACATTTTGCTTCTGCGAAATTGTTGTCCGCTAAGTACTTTATTATTTGAGCCGTCGTAACTGTGGGATCTAAATTGTAGACGTGCAAGTGGGAAAAATTTTTTGCCGCTTTAACGGTTGTATCTTCACCTGAGCCTTCCAGTATAGGTTTTTTTGATTTTTTCTTCTTGTGACTTCAGTAAACCCCTCCGAATCCATTTGTGAACCTCGTGGAAACATTTGACTTGCATCTCTTGAGGATGTATTGCTTTTAATTGAAAGATGAGTATTATTGTTGGGATTCGGTTGTTGTACAGTAGCATTTGCTACTGTATTGATTTGCTGATTGGCATTTACGATTGGACTTACGCTAGTCATTTTAATTGGTTGTGTAGTTAATTCAGGTGGAAATTGATACCCTGCAGTTATTGCAACATTATCATTATTGGGTTTTTTAATAGCTCCGGTCTCCCCTATACCAATTTTAAAAAGTTGGTAGATATTGTACACTATCTACAAATTTCAATCGCTTGTGTGCAGTATAGTTAGGGCCTATTCATATCAGACAGATACCGCGTTAAGATGACGTCCCTAACTGATTTTTCCAAAAATTTTAAATAGAACGCTTACGTGCTGTTCCATACACCGAGTGATTCTTTAGAAGTGAGTATCGTTTTAATTTTCTTCAAATCAAAACATTTTTAGTTGGTACTAACTGTGCAGTGGTGTATCATCATGCATTCACTAAATTTTTACTTATTTATAATTTACAAATACTGCTTCTGTTTTACCACAAATTATATAAATTGACACTAGACACATTCACACTTCATACATATTTCGGTGCCTCGACTATAAAAATGTTCAAAAAATATGGAAAGAATAAACCACAAAGTGCGCACAACCATTATCGGCGACACTGGTTTCTTAAATGATAGTCATAACTAACGAAATTTAAGCAAACAAATTTAATAATGCAAAAAATAGGTACTACAACCATACGCGCGAAATTCCAACAATGAGGGAAGCAATAGGTAGGTATACCTGGGTACTTATTTAATTTAATAAGTATACCTACAATTTGATGTGCGTTGATGTTTTTTGATAAGAATTATCTGAAACAAAGTCACCGGTGGCTACAAAATGCTATCAAACACAATTTTATTGTTTATTTATGAAATGCTTTACTGGATAGATGGTAAGAAACAATCGTGTAGTATACTTATATCTTAGCAACTCGCATACCTACGTACTTGCAATCAAAACATTATTTATTTTGAAATTGTTTAATTGCTCTACTTCAATACATGAACTTCAATAGTTATATGTTTAAACTAATAGTTACCTAATCAACGTATGCCACGGAATAAAACATTTTTACTTTACATGAAAACGTGAGCCTATACCTAGACCTAGGTATGTACTTCCTATCGGTTCCGGCGGTACCTACATAAACCAAATACGAAATATTTATCAGTTATGGAAAATGATATTGTGAATGCATTTTTACACAAATGGAAGTATTGCTTTTGCTATGTGCAAAAGTATTGCTTTTGCTATGTGCAAAAGTATTGAAATTTTTGGACAATCAAAACCAAGATCTGTAACACTGCCTCAAAGCTATATCCTTTCCTAATTTGTGAATGTATAAGAAAGCCTCTGAAATTTCTTGACTTAAAAAAAACAAATTTTTACGACCTTTTGGAAACACATACTGTACGAATTCCTGTTCTGTATCAATTTATCAATGTTTTTTGGGATTTGTATATGGACCCGTACATCCTCTGTATAGGTATTACATAAAGATGAATGTATGTCTGAGGTGGTAAACGTTAAAAATAGACGAATGAATCTACACTTAGGCGATTTCGTACCTTTTTGGGAAGCAATATCTCCTTCTATATTAACATTTTATTACAGTCCAGGCGTCAGAGATCGGATACTGTGCGATTAATTAAACAACTCCTAGGGAAGCTTTTTTTTTCACCAATTTCTTCTTTTTATCAGCACAAACGACCCCATAAAAATTTCTCCCAAAATTTTGACCCAGAAATATCTTATTTTTTTATATTAACCCAAAAAAACGGATTTTGTTTATATTTCAGAAACTACTACTTTTACAGAAAAAATATCGTTACAAGATATTGAAGAGAACAAAATTCTCTACAATTTATGTACCTATTCACTTTTCTTTCGTAGGCCCAGTACATTCGTCTACAGCTGATGATAAATGAGATGCGCTAACTTCAACGTTCGGTCTTAGGTATATCTACTAGGTATACGACTAGTATACGAGTGATACAAAACGTTGCATACTCTTAATAATTTACCAACCTATGAAAATATATAAATGTTGCAGTTCTTGATGTATCTATTTTTTTCCTTTTTGAATATGACGCCGGTTTGAATTTAATATCGTGAATCAAAACTGTTTCCATTTAATAAATTTGATCTTAGTTTTGAAGGTGTTTAATTACTTCCAGTATAATTAAGTGTTGAATTTGAAATTTGGTCAATTAATTCACTGGAAATTAAACATATTTCCTCTTCGGTGTGTTTCTCTTCTTCAGCCATTGTTTCATCAATAGTGGATAAAAAATATGCATTGATATTTTCCTCTCCTTTTTTATGACGGATTTGGTACCTAATTTAAGTTATTGAGTCATGTTGTATAATATTTTTTGAAAATTCATTGAAACTGTGAGTCTAAATATAGAATAAATTTTTGCCCATATACAGGTAAGAATATCATTTCTTTAAAGCGAATACTATTGCTAATAGTCCAAGAGCTGATGGTAGACATTTTTGAGTAGGTATTTGAGGCATTTATGCGAATGACCATACTAGTGCATTTTCCTGGTGATAAATTTCCTTTGCTCGGTTTCTCTGCCCCTCGATTCGGAAAGATTTTGGTAGTTGTAATTCTTCACGAAGCACACTACCTCATGTAAAGGTAAAGATAATTAGTAAATGACCTGCCCTCACAATTTGTTATGATGGGAACCTATACTTGCGATCAAAAATTAGTTGCTGTCGAGTCACCTTTGGAATTTTTGTTTATAAGTATGAGAAATCGTACTTGAACTTGCAAAGACGAATCGACAGCAACTCATTTTTGATCGCCCGTTACACGTACCTATAGTAGGACTTAGCAAAAAGTACATACCGATACAATGGTTTTGAGTTCACCGGGGATGATCAGTTTTGAAAAATGTGTAAATTCAGCGAGAAGTACAAAGATTTCGCGTATTCCCCAATATTACAAAAGTGTGCCGATTTATTGCAATGGATGGTATTACAAACGAATTAGGAGTAGGTACTGCATTTACAAGATTATTTCTGGAAATTCTGTAGTATTCTGGGTTTTTTGTTTAGGTATTATAAAGTGTTTTTCTTAATTTAGAAAATCCCGACGGTATATAGGTATTGGTAATAAACGAAACGAGATGATCAATTATTAAAATATCCGTTTTTGATCGGACGGAAGGAAATCGATCTTCTTCCGAGGAAAGCCAATATTTATTCATAATTGCTATAAACAGTGGGTGAGATAAATAGTACTTAAGTGTGTGTATATTTTATACGAACCATTTATATTTATGCACACTGTTATGAATTCCCCAAACCTTAGCAATGAAATGGCTATCATAAAGCCATTAAGTTTATACAGTGCCATTACGTTAAATATTATTGCTCCTCTCTGTATCCTCTTGTAGTATAGGCTTGAAGCGGTATCGTACTTGTTCTGATTTACGAGGAAGCCAAGTAATAAAGTAATGCATCCTTCAGTAGCGTCTCCTATTAATATACAACTTTCGAATGGGATAATTATTGCCTAATTTTGTTAAACTACCGGCGTTCTGCCTTACCAAAAGGATATTGAAATTTTTATTTTATTAGACCTATACAAATTCTAAGGTTTATGAATAATTTCGCATTTTCATTTCTGCATTCCCCGCAGAACGATACACCCTAATAGGATTTCGGTGTTATAAAATGTTTAGTGCATCCCATCTCTTGCCACCAGACTGTTGGGGTAATGTTTTCCTATGGTGCTAATGAAGTAATCAAGATACCTAAATTTTGCTACGTTCGACCGATTCAATATTTTTCAGTAAAATGAAAGAATGTAAATACTGAATGCGTAATGGGTGGAGCATTGCAAGACCCACGTGTTCATGCTTTGTTAGAGATCCCTATGTTATTTATAATTATTTCATTGCAATTACCTATAGATATCAGATCAAAAAAGTGAGTAGGGAGGTATGTATCCGCACTGCAGTCGTGTAAAAAAAGATCATGAATAACAAAAGAGACTATATACTTATATATAGATATACAGTCCGAACTGTAGATAATCATAGCTGTTACAATGTTGCAAATTGTAAGCGGATAATCACGTTATACTATATCTTGTTTAAAAAAATCACTACACGTTACACACCCTCGTCCATATTTAGTCATGTGGCATTCAGAGTTAAACTACAAAGCTACAAGGAAGAGCATTTGATACAGTAGGTATAACGTAAAGAAAATTTTAAACTATATAAAGGTTCTCAGGGCGAGTGGGTCGGCATTTTATATATACAGGTGGAGTAGGCTGTAAATTATATTCAATAATATTTATGGGCCTGCCTTTCGGGTTCTGATATATCTAAATAATGCATCATACATGATTACAGAAAAGGAAAAAAATGAATGTTCGCGTATAGTACTGACCACATAATAATATGTAGCACCTATTTATCTTTAGTAAGGACTTCATTAGGTCTTTATGTTTATCGTCATATGCCAAAACTGTGGTACAAGCACGTTTCTCACCTGACACCGCAGTTAAAATATAATAGGTAGGTATAACGGTTTTGGCAACTTTGTAGGTGCGATTAAATCAATTATACCTGCAATATGTTGTACATTGTGAGGGAGATAATAGGCATTCCTTTAAAAGCGCTTCAAGTAGATATAAGCGTTAATAAATACCTGTGGCCAGCCTTTCGATGGATACATCAGTCGAAAAGGTGTCTCCTAAAAATAAAGAATAGATGAGACACTTAAATATTTAGTAAAACGATTAGGTATGGGGATTTTCGACAAAGAACCGTTTCCGTCGTAAAATTTCTTAAATATTTTCAATATCGGTTGGAAAAGTCATGTAATCATAATAAACTTGTCTAAAACTTTATGTGCTAGATTTAGTCGTAAAAAATAGTATTCTAGATTTAAAACTATTACCCACTAATTCTATCTCTACGTATATAGTGTACCTACCTATGCATGAAAGGTAGGTACACTTACGTTTACCAACAGGTATCGTATTAATCTCTAATTTTATTTTAGTAGCACTAAAGATACCTTTATTAGCTACTAAACGAAATTGAAACGCAATTTTTATAATTTACAACCGGACATTTTTGTGCATTAGCTTCGTTTCACTTAGGACTGATATCATTTTTCTTTTGCAGAGTCACACAATTGCATTTAGACAAGTAAAAAACGCACGATGAACGTAAATATTCAGGGTGAGTAGTAAAAATATGAGAGCCTTGACGGAAATTTACACTACTTTTATGTTTGCAGCACGTGTTTTTAGTGTTATAGGAAAAAAATATTACCATGAAATGATCAAACCTATTATTCAGCGATACATTTTTTGTGGTCACATACGTTTCATGTTGTCGCCGATAACACAATCATTGGATATACCTACTCGTAAAACAAAATAATATTTAGGGTATACACTTAAATGGATTCAAAAATGTTTACGGTGGTGAATTTAAAATTTTATGGCTCTAAATAAATACTTTTGTGGTTTGAAATACTAATACTACCTTTAAATGTTTCAGTTCATCAGGAATAGACATCCAATGAATGCACTTTCACTTCAAGATTATACAAAATTAAGTCTACAAAGTTCAGTGTCCTTTGCATGAGTCGCACAACAAAGTAAGCATGAAAGCACAACACACCATGCCGGATTAGAAATCAATTGAACCATGCCGTTGTATATCTAAAGAAGCCCCTTGTTACAGTGAGGTAACACCCATGGGGTGATTATAACCCCTCTGCTTCGTTAAGAATATGCACGCTATACTTATGCTGTTTTTATATTAGAATGTGTATCATGATTCGCAATGGCACCTATCAGATTGTAAATTGTCTCTTTAGTAAGTATCAAACGGGTAACCGTGGAGAAAGAAAGTTTGTGTACCCAAGTAATTATTTTTAGTAGCTCGTAAACTAATAAACGCAACCCTGCCTTTAACTTCCACCAGTATATAAGTTAAGGTTAATTTTTTGTTAAGAAGCAAGCAAAAAAAATGGTGAAATCCAACCTTGACAGATTTCACTTTCAGCTTAGAAAAAAATGCATTGTTGTGTGGTTTGATGTAAAGCCACAAAATTGTAAGTAGTTTAGTTTGCCGTAACTCGTGCTTCCGTCAACATAACCAGACGATTTTTTAATTAAAAATAAACAAATGCTTACTCGTGCAATTTCTCGCAAATAAACGGCGGCGGTGTAGGTAATATAAAATGAAATTAAATAAACGCACACACTAAACCAAAAATAACCGGAGGTGTATTAAAACCATAAATGAAAAGTAAAATATTATTAAGATGTTCTACTAGGAAACCATCTTGAATACGACTCAGCTTAGTGTAGGTTAAATATTTTAAGGCAGCATGGTCAAGTCCGTCGTCGAACATGGCGTCCATAAAGGATAGAGAAAAATAGATATCGACCAACTTGGTGTAGACAAGGAGAAACTGAAGCTTAATCCGGAGATCCAGTAAGCTCCGCCAATGCCGGGCCTGCTGCGACGGGAGGTAAAACAAGTTTGATTTGTTGTGTAGTATTATTTATACTAAGTTTTCTGAGAGGGTATTTGAGTATTTTAAGAAACGCTTAATCTTCAACAGTGACGTGCGAACCGCAAACTTTGGTTTAAATACATGTAATTATAGATTTAGAATGCATACCTACCTATATGGTAAAATTATACACGCGATTCTTCCCTTTGAAACGTTTCTATCGTTCGGAACATCTCAACTCAGAGAACCAATGTAATTAATTAACATTTTGTGCCACACACGTAGCATTCATATAATTTAAATTTAAACGGAAAGAATGCGCTTGAAGGAATTTTTAAATGGCCGCTTTTGATAAAAAGGAACAATCAATTAGTGACCAGTGTATGGTTTCTACTGAATAAATTATGTAGCCACTGAAAAAGAAAAAGAAATACCACTGTGGATATTCTCCCAGAACTATCTTGCTAAATTAAGTAGGTATACCTACCTTTTGCAGAATAAATTCTGATGTAATAAGATATTTGCCTAATTCCTTATTCTAAAGACTAAAATTAAATACCTAAATAGGTAGGTACCTAATTAAACATCTACCTACCAATTCCAACAAGGCAAAGTACTTATCTTAAGTTACCTATCATGTAATCAGTGAGCACTGAATAGATTATTGTTCATATACAGGGTGATTTTTTTTTTCATTTTCACTAATTATGGATCTCGTAATCCATAAGAGATACAAAGTCGCTTAATGGGCAAAGTTATGCAGAATTTTATGCTGATTAATTTTCCCATTCAACGTTTCTTGTATCTCCACAAATAGCGAAGTTACGTATGGTGAAAAAATCGAAAAATGTCATTTCCTAAAATGCGCTGGCGTCCATTTACCTATTTTTAAAGATATATAGGTACCTAGGTATCAAAACATATTTTTAATACACGCATCCTTATAGTAATTTTTTTTCAACCCTCTAATGCTAAAATAAAATTTTTATTGCTTGTGAGTTTCGAGTAGGTACCTAAATCAAATCAATTTAATTATTTCTTATGGACGTCACATTGGATTGAATTATCAGTCAAACGTCAAAAATTTTGAAAAATCTTGAATAACTTGAAAACCTTCGATGCTGGGTATAGGGAAATGTGGTATCAAAGGAAGTACATTTTCATATAGATTTCGAAAATGTAATAAAACACAGGGTGTTCTATATTTAATATAAGAAAGTTGTTATCAACATCCGACCAAACCGGAAGTGACACGACCATGATAATATTTTCTTTCGATATAGATCATGAAAAACCATGTTGGTCTACCCAGAGTTGGACTGGGTCACTGGGTCACTGGGTCCACTGGGTCACTGGGTCAACTGGGTCACTTGGGTCACTAAATTAAACTGGGTCGCTGGGTCACGTCATACTCTTTTCAGTTAGACCCAGTGACCCAGTTTGACCCAGTGACCCAGTTTGACCCAGTGACCCAGTTTGACCCAGTGACCCAACTTGACCCAGTGACCCAACTTGACCCAGTGACCCAGTTTGACCCAGTGACCCAGTTTGACCCAGCGACCCAATTTCACCCGGGGACCCAATTCGACCCAGTCACCTAGTTTGATCGAATAACGCAGTTAAGTCAGTGCCCTCGGTTCAAGTGTATAGATTATGAAATAAATGAAGTGCTGGTTTGTTGAAAATAATACTCGATTGCTTGACAACTGCCATTTCTGTGATGTTTGCTTTAATACTGCCGTAAAAAACTTTCCATGTCCCGAATTGTATTAGAATAATGTTATTTCTTTGCTTCAGGGCTTACCAGTTTGCTTACAGGTGTTCATTCACATTTAATTTTTTTTCTACTAGTTAGCTTAATCCAAATAAATCTTTTCTCTAAATACTTTCATTGACTACTTGACTACAAACTATAAACAAATGCATTTGATTTTTTTAGGTATTAGTTCTCTTGAATGAAATTGGGCTAAGTGCTTGTTGCCGAATATTATTGAGGAAGATTTTTTTTAAATTAAAAGTTACTTGAAATTGTTTTGGCTGATACCTAACAATAATTTAATTACTGGGCCACCGGGTCAAGACGGGTTACTGAGTAAAGCTGGGTCAAGATGGGTCACTGGGTCAAGCTGGGTCACCGGGTCAAGCTGGGTCACCGGGTCAAACTGGGTCACCGGGTCAAGCTGGGTCACCGGGTCAAGCTGGGTCACTGGGTCAAGCTGGGTCACCGGGTCACTCTATGCTTGACCCAGTCCAACTCTGGGTCTACCTATGCAAAGTTTCAGAATTAAATTAATAATGGGGTCTGAATACTTTTAGGTAACGGTTTGCGTGAAACAGCCTGTATTAATACCGAATATGAATATCGGAACTTTATGGATGAGCCTTTTGATGTTTCATTGTTATATTTAAGTAGGTATCTACTGATTCATCGATCGGATGAGATACACCCACATTTACCAACTATGCTTATTATAAGTATAACTAAATTTGAGTGTATACCTCGGTGTATATCTACTTATTTTTTTGCGAATTTTAATGGAGATCACTATTTTTTTGCGGAGTTAGGTACCTTTGCATGAGACATTTAGGTATTAGCAGTTTCTTGCATAATTGAAAAGGATTATAAAAAATCCTATAGGCAAAGCCTGTTTGTTATGCGGTTGTTGACGTTCTTACAAATGTCAAACAGCAAATAAAGAGTTCAATCCTTCTTTATCTCCATTCTTTCCCCAGTAATGTCCTGATCAACATAGTGAAGCATCAATTTTTAGTTCTTAGTCCAAAAATGGTTTAAAAAGTAACTCAAACAAAACCGTTCGATACTTTAAATTACAATCTACTACTTCCAATACATCATTGCAAATCTCCTAAAATGACCTTTATTGACACCATAAAAACCACCTTGGATAATTTACCTATTTAACAAAAAGTTGTGTTTTCGAAATTTTTTGAGGAGCTTTCCAATGATTCACCGCTGGTGGGTTATGGGTGTTGGTCCAGATGGATTCTCCCTCCATACCATCGAAATGGTCAACGTGCTCAACCTTTTAATACCTATCTCTAGCAGATTTAATTCATCAACAGCATTCCCATCAGTTTCGCACTTTGAACAATAGGTACTACCAGTAATTTGAAAGTAACTATAATTCGTCTTACCTGGTATACAGTTTTTACAGAGGTATAGGTAATTAATACGAATACCTACCTATAACTTT